CTATGAATAATGAAGTCTTAAAGCAAGTGACATGAAATTGATTTTGAATAAAGTTTTTTTTTCCATATTTTTTTTTTTACTAATTTATACTCAACACTCTTTTTGAAAGAGGATGGATAGATGTGCATTTAAACAAAAACTACTTTAGAAGTTTTCATATTTGAATGTTTTTGGTATTCGATTATTGATTTTGGTGTAGTTTGCGGTGTGAGCTTTGAGACGTGAAGAGAAAAAATAATTTTCAAAAGTATAAATTCAGAATACTTTTCTGCAAACTTGATTATGTATGTTTACTTGTTTTTTTTCAACTTTTAATATCACACCCAATATCGATCAACAGTAGAAGTTTCTTTAGAAACTTCAAGTTTGCTATGATTGAATTCTTTTTTCTAGGATAATTCATAATTTAAAATTAAGTGCGATCAAGAAAATAGTTTTTTTAAACAAACTCTGATTGACATAGTCGTTAACTAGGAAAAAACATAAAACTTTCGGTGGTATGAAATATAGGTGTACCTTTGTTAAACTATAAAGGATAATAATTATTTTTTTGTCAATAAATCATTCATTAGTTGTTGTTGAATAGTCGAAAATATGTTCTTAATAAAGTAACTTAAGAGAGCTTTGAGGAGCCCATCGAATATCATTTCGATTTACGACGCACTTGATAAAAATATTTTTACATTGTTTTTGCTCATTCGACACATTAATGTCTAAAACCACAGATCCCAAAATTTTAGGCTCTAATATCCTCCCTTTGAAAAGTTGACCAATACCGACTTTTAGTACTCGCATACCTTTTCAGGAAATTGCACAAAACAAATATTCTATAAAAGATGTGCGAACTTGCGTTTTCACAGATCGTTGAAATTCTTCATGTTATATATCAACAGATTGAGAATTAAAAACTAATCAAAATAAGCTGTATCGATTTAATATAAGGTCAAGAAACTCAAGTTTTATAAAGTCAACATGAGTCAAAAGAAGTTCTTTTGATCAGTTCAAATAGAACAAGTACTCCCTGTGGTGTTTCAAGATCAAAGGTATTCAATCTGAATTTCATATATGTTGTGCAATTCTTTTTCCCTACAAAATGGATAAAAAGTCTTCAAAAAAAGATTTCCGACTGATGCACAACGTGGCTTACATCTCCTCATTTTTGATTGTTATTCAATAGAAAATAAACATTTTTAGAGGTTTTTATTGCCATGATACACTACTAAAGCAAGATAGATACCATATTCTGAACCAGCATCAACAACTGTTATCTAATGGAATATTTTTCGCGAGAAGAATGTGGGTGTGAGTGGCATTAAGATGAAGCCACATCCACACTCTGGTTGAAACAAATATAGCAGCAACATTTACAACACTTCTAGTTACAACATGCTTCGCAACACCTTCCACAACCTTTACAACATTTCGATCGACCAAGAAAACTGATTTGAGTATTCAATATATGTTTTCATACATTCCTTCGAAAATGTTTCATTAAATAGATGATCGACTCTATTAAGTTAAGCTCGATATCATTTTTTATTCGCTTCTTATCTATCAACATTTTTGAATTTAGGAAAATTAAAAAGAGCTGCAAAAAATGTAACTTCATTTTATTTAACTGATATTATTAGTTTCGTCAAATTTTCAATCATCTTCCATCCTTGATCACATCGAACGAGATTTTCTCGAGATTAATTCTTTCAAAAGAACAGAAAATCTATTATCCATTCAGCTGTCAGCGAAATTATTTCACAAGATATTTGATCATTTAGCGAAATATAATGTTGATAAATATACTTGTAATAAATAAGCATCATTGATCAACATAGTCGTATATTAACCAAGGTTGCTTTTTAAATACTCGTGTATTAGACAATCGTTCCAAATTTGTCCATGATCAGACTCAGACACATCAATTAAAACATTTAAGTTGAGTGTTTCAATCCTGGAAAATTGAAAATGTATGATTTTCAGAATGATATTCATAATCATATCGATTATTTCGATATTGTTTTATTTTAATGTTTATGATGTTTTTCTCACCACTATTTGTTTCAGTCATAGAGCTACCATGTACCTATGAAACAAAATAATTCTTCATGTAAATATAGAATTTTTCTTTGTATGAAACATATCATGAAATCAGAAGGAACAAATAGTTTTACATAGTTTACAGTAAAATTCATACAAAAATAGACCTTGAATCGAAGCTCATGTTTAAGTGTAAACAGCCTTGTTGATCCAAGAATAAAGTAATTGAGAATTGAGCTATTGGTAATTATACAATAAGAAAATGATCGATTGTATTTCATTACTATTTTAAGCTGTATCATTTATGCAACATATGTTATGTTTAAAAAGGAGGTTAAAAAAATCCTCGTCTATTGATTTTGTATTGAATATTAACAGAATTGAATCACCAAAAAAAGTATTGAGAACATGATTCTGATAACGAAAATGTATTGTTAATTTTAAAGATGTTCATTGTAAATAAAGTTCATTCAAACAAACCTTCATCATAACAGAAATGCATAATAATATTTCTGTTTTTTATTTAATATCAACACATTCACACTAAATGACTTTTATTTTTAAAAATTTGTTTCATGAGAAATTAAATTTGGCTTACAAAAATATTTCAGCTTTTTACTTACTATTTGTTTCAAGCATATTAATTATTATATACTGTTATCATTCTAAAAAAAAGTGATTAAAAAATTGTGAAAACTAATAATAGATTAAGTAGTTTTTCTCCTTACTTACAAATATATTTATTAATAAGAAAAATATAACAAATACTGTTGAAAAACTATTTTTCTTCTTAGATATGCGTTTACATCGATTAATTCTTACTCTATATATAACAACAAATCAAAGAAGACTTCTTGATAAACTTCCTATAAGAAGTCATAAAAGGAATTCTCTAGAGATTTGCGAAAGAGTTAGTATGTAGAGTTTCACTCCGATTTTGAAATAAGTATAAAATGTTTGAAGCTACAGTTCCACTCTTATAAATCAGAGTATATTTGGAAGACAAAGAAAATTGTTTTCATTAAATCAAATTGCAGTCGAAACGACTATTCAGAACTACGATGCGTCAGACAGTAATGAAAATGATATTTATTTACAAAAGAAAACCTTAGAGAAAATGAAATTACATCCTTTTCACCTTCACACACTTATTTTTGACATATCTATAAACATGCGAATCTAAACAATATTTTATTAGAAAGATTCAATTCTGCAATAGATGTTGGTATAAGGTGTGGTTATTCATACCGCTAATTCATAGCCAACTCCATCCATTCATATCTACATAAAAAAAAACCATCTGTGTAAATAGATAAAAGATGAGAGGCAAATGTATGTCAAAGTTGAATCGATTTCTGAAAGTATTTTGTTTATTGGATGAAACTCATGAGAAATCCAATATCGCACAATTCAAAGAGAAACTTGAACCTTGACGAAATCGATTTATTCTTTGATACAGATGGCTTTTATCATAGCCTCTCAAATTGATAACGTAACTCAACATGAAACAGAGTTTGAAAAATCTTTTATGATGAATCTACTCATTGGCGTTATGTTTCTTTGTATTTTGTTAAAAATCAAGTCTTTTTTTAATCGAGGATATTAATGAAATATTGTTTTAATATAAGACATTATGCAATTTTTATCGATTATGTCATTGTCACACATGACTATTGCTTCTTTTTTGAGAAACAAGAAGAATCATGATTTAAAATTTTAGAATTGAAGATCGAATTAAAATCAAACATTAAGCTTTAGATATTGATAGTTCTTTCATTGTTCTTGATTATTTCTCTTTTAGCTATTAAAAGACGAATGTCCCTTCCAAGAGACATTGCCATCAAAGCTTCTAGTAGACCGTGTCAGGTCGAAGAAAATCAACCAATGAGCTATCAGGTGCAGGTCCACTCCATGGACTTTAAAAACCGGCCTATCTATGGACCTTTTATGTAATTGCATTATATAGATTTAAAGCACATCAATGAGCAAGCATATATCGATTAGCGGTACTTAATGCATAAGCAAATATTCGATAAGAGTGTGAGTGTCAATGTGGGTTTCTTTTTCTTGTCGTCATCCACACGCGCATCCCATACCTATATTGATCAATTGGAAAAAAGTGATGTATCTGTAAAAGAAAGTAAGGATCCGTTATTTCGAAAATAAACTTTGGCGACAATAGAAATAAAATAATAAAAAATGAGCATGTAGTTGGAAATTTTCACTATCAAGATGTCGCTGTGAAATAAAGTGCATGTGATATACACAATGAGCATCACAATTCGGGTCGAATAATAGAGACTCTATGAAGAAATATTTATCATCGAAATTTCACCTGAGGAGGGCATACAAATGAACTCATCCCCATTAAACCAGAAGAAAAGCAAGGATCAAATTTCGATGATAAATATTTATTAATGGAGTCTATGTCATTCGATCGCATTTTGTATGCTTATTTTGAATAGCACGTGAACTTCGTTTTACAACGAAATCTTGATAACTAAAATTTCTAATTACATGCTCATTTTTTTATTATTTTATTTCTTTTGTCGCGAAAAATTAATTTTCGTAATAACGGATTCTTGTGTTTTTTTTACAAATACATCGGTTTTTTTCGTTGATGGATGTGGGTGCTGATGAAGACAAGAAATAAACCCACACTCAAGGTAGTAGTCTCGAACTAGTGCTACGTGTGAGTTAAAAATAATGCTAAATTATTGCTAACCCCTAAGCTTTAATTAATTCTAATGCGACACCTCCTAATCCCGATTGTAAATAAAATTTTATTTATTCTTATTTTGAAAAAACTTACTTCAATGAGATTTGTATACATTAAAGCAGTCTTTTAAAGAAATTTTTCTCGATTTTTGGATTCATCATAGCTAATCAAGAGACAAGTTAAATGTCAAACACAAAAATAAAAGAATGAAAAAGTTAAATTTCAAAATATAACATTTGTTGTTCATCCTTTATTTAACACTATCTGGTTTACTACTGAGTTTCTTAGCTCTCAATTTCGCCACTTCAGTTTTTGAATTTATAACAGGAATCAAAAGTACAGATATGATTTCAATATCTGCTGTATTTGTCAAACGCCATTCAATTGCTTTCCTATCATCACCGTCATGAGTAACATAAGTCGGTACAGTACATGGAAAAGTCTTGAAGGAATTTGCTTTTACAGTACATTCCAATACAGCTATAAGTCGTTGATCTTGATGCTTAAATATGACTGCATATGCCGGATCTGAACAATAGTGTATACTTGGTGTTACAAAGATTCCATTTGAAAAATCATTAATACCAAAAGCTTCTTTTCCTCGAGGAATATGATTAGGTGGTGGACAAATACGGAATCCATTAGAAACTACTGTACTTGGCATAACGAGTCCATCCATAAGAATTGATTCAATGGCTTTTATATTAGTTCCATGATAAGCAATATGAGGAAATTTTTCTTTATTATGTTCACGAATCTTTAAATATTGACATGAAACAGGTTTATCACGGGTGTGAAGTAATTGTCCAACAGCAGCCTGAATAAACATATCTGGTGGAAGAGTTAATTGAGAAGGAATAATATCAACATGACGAATAAAAGCATGTATTGTTTCACCAATCGAAATTAAATGTGTATGTTGTGTTCTATTAGAAAACCAATAAGATGATGACGGTGTCAAATTGTATAGTCGAGCATTTGGTTCATCAACAAGAGATACTGTGGGCATATCTTTTAAATGATTTCTAGTATTAACGTATCCTGTTTGAAAAAGACAAATACATCCAGGCAAATTGACTATATCAATATCTGGTGGCATTATATATTCAACATTGATTGTAACATCGTGATCAACACAATTCTTCGGAAAAGTAAACAATAAATTTTTAATAGTAAATATTTGCTTTTCATCAGTTCGAGAAATTTTCATCGTAAATTTTGGACAGTTTGGTTGAAATTTTTGATGAAATTCCTTTTCATTGCTAACAGGAAGTTCATCATGAAGAACATGACCAGCTTTCATATAAC